CCCTACATACACGCATGTAAACATGCGTCAGGTGCGCATACCTGCGAAAACGACGATTGCACCCATTACGCCGCACATGTTACATATCGCCGCGAACGTCGGAATGAGAGCAATAGTTCTAGGGCCATCAATCACTGATAACACTAAACTGATGAGCGGTAAAAGCTTTTAAAGCGTCGCCTATGGCCAATTTTGGGTATGCTAGTTTTTTGCGAGTGCGCGCAATTTTTACGCTTGACATGTTTGGTGTCTATTTACCCGATGTGACCCCATCTTTTATATTTTACCAAAAAAGTGGGTAATATTAGTTGTTTTATAGCATAATGTAAAAAAAATGTTTTTCTCAAAATTTTCAGTAATTTCTCCTGAATATAGTAAAAAATAAAACCCGCAGTGGTGATTAAATACCACTAAAAGAAAGCTCTATCTGTCCCCAAAAAATGGTGTAAAATTCATTTCAGTACAGCGTTGCGTGACGGAATAAACGTCAGTCAAAGTACCGCAGCGCTGAACACTGAAAAATGGCCTGGCCAGGTAGGGGATCTGAACACCTGGTCTTCAAGCAGTTAAGTAACTTCAAGTCTGAATTTGTGACCTGTCACAATATAAAGCAACAAATCTTCAGAGCAATCAGTGAAGTTGAATAACTTTGCCTAGAACTGAAGCTTCTCGGTTACCTGGAGGCCGGAAGCCTTTCCTTGGTCTTCTCTGACCAGACAGCAACCAGCAAGCTCCCATTTCTTGGCTCTGTTTCTCTACCAGGAGAAGCAGCAACTTGTAATGTACAGGTCCCCAGACATAGCTTACAAGGGGCTATGGACTTGTGTAGCCATGCTTGTTGGACCGGCACAGGTTTCCAGAATCGGAAGTAATGGGTATTGTCAGTCTTGGCAGGTGAGACGGCAAGGGGAATGTGCTGCAGGGGCTTTATTAAAGCTCTAGAATGCAGATTGGAAGAGTTGGGTCGTGTCTTGTTGTACACTTCCAAGATGTGGCTTTCCATGTCGTGCAGTGGAATGAAAATGGCATAAGCTCAAAGCAGTGGGTATTCATTCACCTGCCTTGGCCTACAGGTTAGCTAGCCTCGGACATGTGTAACTTCTGCAGTTGGAGATTAATCGTAGACAAGACTTCTCTGGATCTATTAGACGTGTGGCCTCTGCAAAATCTTTTGGCTCTTCAATGTTCACTCCCACCTCGAGTGGTAGGGTTAGAGGTCATCTTTAATGCAGCCTATTCTACATCACTCAACTTGGATGTCCTTTCGGCTCATTCGCCTGCTTTGCATTTCCATCTTGCTGCAGGAAATCTGCATCTTGGGTCAAATATACATTCATGATGTGTGTTGGGGAATCGCTGCATTCAGAATCTCCTGACCATATATTCACATGCAGATATACGTTTGTGCTGTAATTCTCAGTATGTCTGTGTGCAGGGCAGGTTTATACTAGGCCAACTTATCTCATGCCACCCCTCATGCCTCAACTCTGGTATAAACTTGTTGCCTGTAACCTGCTAGCCTTGGCATTGCACAATTGGCATGTTGTAGCTGGTCATGTGAACTATGGTGAGGATAAGGACTTCCCCCTATGATAACTTGGAGTAATCCTGTTGCATATGTTATATGTAATGCAGATCTTGGCTATGGAGCTTACTATGCTGAAGAAGAGTATCCTCTGGTCAGAGTGCTCAGGGAACCGGTCTACCTGGAGGTCCGCATCATCCGTAGAACAGACCCAAACCTGATCCTAGTCTTAAATGACTGCTGGGCCACCAACTCTGCTGATCCTACACTCCTTCCTCAGTGGCCCATCTTGTATGACAGGTGACTGATCTGTAGCTAGGAATCTAGTACACCTTTGGTGTAGATCACAACTCCTAAAATGTCTCTTGTTGGTTTCAGTTGCCCTTTTTCTGGAGACAATTATGTGAGCAGCCTGATTCCTGTTGGAGCTCCTTCACCGGCTATACCTCTACCAAACTACTACAAGCGCTTCCTTGTCAACACCTTCACATTTGTAGACCCCAACTCCCAGCTTGCCCTTGGAGGCCTGGTAAACCTAATACAACCTCTCATGCTTTTTATGCCGGTAGTATGCTGTATTGTAACTGTATACACTTGTCTGCAGGTCTACTTTCACTGCAGTGCTTCCGTCTGTGTGCCATCTAACATGGACAGCTGTGTGGTCTCTTGTGGTGGAAGGAGAAGTGAGTATTATATAAGGTCTCAGACTATGACTGGTGGTAAGACTTTTGGGTTTTCACACCTTTCCCTTACATAAGGGGCCATTGTTGGCTTGATTTGGGGAAATTAATATCTAAACATTCTTAATTTTAGGGAGAATGGCTGAAGAGCAGGAGCTGTTGTCTCTGAAGAACACGGTGACATCTGAAGGACCTGTTGCCTTTGTTTCTGTGGATGATAAAGAAATGCTAAAACTGGAAGGTAATGTCTTCATGATGTTGGATTTGTTTGGTCTCCAGTTGTGATTCCAGACTTGTAACATTTCTCATTCTTAGGTGCTGATCCCTCGCAGTACTCCACTCTGGACCTGGCTAGAGCACTAGTGACTGCTGGAGTTATTGGCTTGGTGGCTGTCACTGTTGTAGGCCTGTGGCTACATCGCAGGAGACAAACTTCTAACATAAAAGTTACAAATGCTTAAATAAGGCTCCTAAATAAAAACATTTTTTAAAATTTGCCTTTTGGTGTTTATTTTATTATATATAATGGCTGTAAAATATAATTTTTGTGGCTTAACTGAATAGCTAAAGATGCCGGAAAATGTCATCTGTTCTGCAACATATGATGGTGGGGTCGCGGTCAAACTTGGTTGCTATAGGCAGCTGTTAACCTTCACATACAAAAACAGGGATCAGGTTGCCTACAAAGGGAATACAGTTTGGGGTTAAATAAAGATCGGGACAGACCAAATAGGAAAAATCGTACAAAAACTTTATTAGTACATATCAAAGCACCGCCACCCACCCACCCACCAGCATTAAAATCACAAATGAACTGACTGTAAATCCATTTGGTTCTGGATGGTAGATTATAGACACTTTATTTTGGCACCTTTTATCAAGACCTTTTGAGTTTGCAATAGTACATACTCCAGGTGGATAAGCATTAGGTGTTACATCGTAGCTCTTAGTCTGTACAGAGGGGAGATTGTTAGTTTGTAGACCGTAAATTGTCAGAACGTTTCCAGGCTATCGATTGGCTCCTTCCCTGTCAAAATTAAAATGTAAAATTTTAAATTCCTACCAGACCTTAAGGGTCTGGTATGGATTTTGGGGGGGGGGGGGGGGGGAACCTCACGCTTTAAAAAAAAAATAATAATCCGCAGAGCCCAACTTGAGACCCCACCAGTCCACCTGAGACCCCAGAACAGCTGAAACTTTGCAAAGTCCACCTGAGACCCCCCACAGCCCATCTGAGAGCCTGCAGAGCCCACCTGAGATGCTCACACAAGCCACCTAAGGCTCTGCACAGCCCACCTTAGACTTACAGCATTCCTGGGACCCTGGAGACATCAGCTCACCACCCGGAAGCAACACAGAGTATGTAGCTTCATATTCTGCATTGCTGTGTAATGTATTGCTATGTGGGGGACCTACATGGTGGTCAGTTGCTTTAGACCTGCTTCTGTTCTCCTTTAGGCAGCACCCCTCCTGAACCACCATGGCATGTAGGCTTGAAATCACTAGTCTCCCCCTACATGACAGATTAGAAGGGGCAGCGCCGGGGAAATTGAAGCAAGCCAAGAAGTGGCTCCTAAAATAACAAAGCAGCACTGGAGAATGAGGAGATGTGAAGGTGGATCAGGAGGGGAGAACATGGGCAAGGGAACAGATGGTCTAGAGGATTGATTTGTGTGGGGGGGGGAGGGGCGCTAATGAAAGACTCGCCCCCGGGCGCCTCATTCTTTACGCAAATAGAGCTTTCTTTTGGTGATATTTGGCCGCTGGGTTATTAAATGTATTTTATTTTTTCTATAAATGATTGTGTGAAATGATGATTTCTACTTTTTGTTATACAAAATATCAAAGTTCTTAAAGTCAGGCCAAAATGTATTCTGAATGTTTTTGGTAAAAAATCCCAATAAGTGAATACTGAGCGGTTTGTGAGAATTGGTACCAATTATAAGTCTTTGTAAAACTTGGTTTATATCCATATGGTGTCAGACAACCAGATCGGTATTGCTCGGGGTAACGGATTGGTGTAGGAAGGATATGGCCGGTATATATTGTCACCTCGGTGTGTCTGCGAGAAAGTCTTATCTTAGGAGGCTGAACCCTGCCCCCCGCCTCCCAGGACAACAAATTACCCTGGTGGTTGGCCACCCTAAAGTCACCACCAGGTGTTCTATGCACCTGGAGGAGGTATTAAAGGCTTCTTTTCCTCTTAGGATTTGTAAGTTTACAGAACGGGAACCAAGTCCTCCTTCCAGGGAAGCGGCGCCCCCACCTGTGAGACATCGTCTGGCTTTTTCAGCCCTATGGACTATAGAAATCCCGGATCTGTGTATTCAGTTGGTGGTGTCACAGGGTTACAGAGTTTCTTTCCTTTCCCTCTGCCCGGATCACGCACTCCAATCTTCCTGCGTTCCTTCTCAGGGCAGAAGCTTTGCAGAAGACCTTGCTGCAGCTCTTACCCTCATTATGCCCGTTCCACCACTGGAAAGGTTTCGGGGATTCTATTTCAACCTGGTTATGATTCCCAAACCCAACAGAGATTCCTCCTATTCTGGACCTGAAAGTGTTAAATTCACAAAGATTTGCAAGTTCTGCACAGAATCCGCTCGCTCGGTCCTCACTTCCTTACGGGGGGGGGTTGTTGGTCTTGTATCTGTAGATGGAGATACATGTGGGGGAGGGGTTATCTGGGTGACCTGTTAATAACACGTTGTGAAGTGGCGCTTCAGTTCATAGGTCAGCAATACTAGATCAGCAGTTCATAGGTCAGCAATACTAGATCAGCAGTTCATAGGTCAGCAATACTAGATCAGCAGCTCATAGGTCAGCAATACTGCCTCGAATGTGGGAGGAGACGGGGAGCCTCTGGAATGTGGGAGGAGACGGGGAGCGAGCACGCAGGATAGTGCTGGAGGAATCTCACCCATACACAAGACTAAAAACGGGACTGTGCGGGTGAATCCTGGTCAGGTGACAACCCTGGCAATGGCACTGGTCTGTAATACCTCATATAGCGGGAAGGCGTCTCTAGAGCTCGTCATTTGCAGAATTTGAGTTTTCTAATGTCTCCTCCAAAGGCGCATATAATGGAGGACCCGCTCCACACTCATCTGTATTCTTATCAAATGTTTGATTGATTGGTACCGGGGCCGCCATGACAGTGACCAGCCCCCACCCCCAGACCATTTGTTTTTTACAATCTCTGGACAATTAGTCTTGAAAATTAGCAAAATTGGTTTGCAGGATTCTTCCCCATAGACTTCAATGAGGTAGGGATCAACGGTCACAAGTTCCGTATTGTGTGATAAAAAATTGCTTGTATTGGACCCAGGAGCATCTGGCCAATCACTGTCCTCTGATGGGGCGCATGTAGGCGGCGTTCACTCTCGGGGCGTTGCGTGAGTGTTCCCTTTGGGTTGGCTCTGTGTAACCCCGTGTATGCAACTTGAAACCAGGCCACGGCTCTGGCCTCGTGCAAACACTTCCACACGTGTAGTGCTGCGCACACAGGGCCCCATGGCTTCCACCGCCTCTGCGGTAATGGGCGCTTCCTCCCCCTTAGGGAGAAAGGCCACCATGAGCGGCACCCTGTGTCAGGCATAGCCCCTTTGCACACCTACCCTCCACAGGATGGTTACAGCCACGATACAGTCCAACATCACACTCCTGTAGAACCTTCTCAGAGGTTGGAGGGAGAAGAACCAGTCCACACAGATAGTCTTTTCTTGGTTTTACTTGAAGGTATAAACAGAACAAAGCATACGATCAGCCACCCCCGGATGGGATGAAGGCGCAGTTCTTGATAGTTGCATGGTGATACAGATTAGAGAGAGAGAAGAACAGCCCAGGTGCAGCCCGGAGTCCACGACTTACTTCGGCCAGAGGCCCACTGGCAAATATCGTCAGTACTACAGCTTCTCACTATTCTCTGGAATCCCATCCTTGTCAGTCCTAGCTCGGTGGTTTCCTCCTCCAGGGGAACCTCTATAGCTCTACATAGTCCTAGGCCTGGTCCTGTCCTTACCATGGACCAGCCTATGTTTTAGAATCAGTCTCCCTCCAGAGACTCTGCAGACAGTCTTAGACTTCTGCTCTCCTGTACTGAACTCCACAACTGACTTCACTTCCCCTCTCGGGCGCCCCCTATAAATCAGCTCTCCTGGGACACAGAGTCTCCCCAGGCCAGAGCTGCATCTATCTCCAGAGCCCCGTGGGGGCATCTAGTGGCCGTTGGCCATACTGCACCTACCTACACGCAGATAAAGACAATGACAACTGACAGGGGTCCTAATCCCCCCCTCCCCCTCTCTAATGTTCTTTCCAGATTTACATATAATACTTTATATACTCCCCTCCCCCCAGACCTCTGGCCAGCATGGCCCCATAGAGCACACTGAGGACTTTCCTTGAGGCTTTGTGTCATGTGATCCACTTTCCCACGCCACTGAGCCTAGCCAGGCTGCAGCTTCCCAGGGGCAACACTGGATCTTCTCGGGGCATTTCTGATGACAGATCAAATGTGACTTTCACAGTTGTGTGTAACAGTAGTAGCGCTCTCAATACATTTGTCTGTTAAGAATACTGTATGTGATTTGTACATGTAGAACAGCTCACATCCATGTTATCACATCCAGGAGCGTGTGAGCAGCAGAGCGTGTATAGTACACATGTGACGTGTCCAGAATGGAGGTCGGGGGTCAGCCAATGATACAGCACAGCTGCCATACTGGAGGTTCTACTGACTGCAGAATGGAGGACCAAAATATCCTTCTACACCCCTCCCCCATCCCTCCCCCTCTCTGCATACTGACACAGGAAGGGGGATGGTGCGGAGCAAGACAGAGGGGAGCACATGTTGTCACTTCAGCGTCACATTTGTCTTTGCTGGTACATGGAAGAACGCTCGCAGTCACTGATGGATCTGAAGGTGGCAATGAAGCCGACCCACAGTGCAGCCTGACAGTCCTGTTCCTTCACATGCTTCAGTCCCGATCTCCAGACCCCTCTGCTGCTGTCTTCCCCGTCCACCACTGACCTGCTGGAGCAAGATACAACTCTTCCTGCCGGGGCTAGGACCTTCCAGGACAGACAC